GGGGGTGGGGAGATTTCTCCCCAGAGGAGCACCTTTGCGCTCCTCCACAAGTTTTATTTTAAATTGCAGCCTCTCTTCAGATGGCTCCAGAGTGTGGCGAAGAGCAGATGCATGGTTTGTTCTACTTCTTTTTGTTTGTGGCTCAGACTTTTTAAAAATAATGTATTCTTCAAAAGAAAGACTTTTTAAGGAGTAGCTGAAGAAACAGAACTCTTTTGGGAGCATAGTGCATTTATATTTTTGATTGGGATCATGGTGTACTGAACAACTTGAGAGTCTGTGTGAAACTTCCCATCAAATTGTTAAGGATGGTATATGTCTTTGAGTAGCATTGAAGCAGTGAGGAGATACATTGGGAGTAGGCTTGCCAATTCCCCCCGGGGGGCGGGTAAACCCCCGCCCGAGACGCCCGTTACCCGATGCCAGCAAATCAGGTCCCGGGGGGGACTCCACCCCCTTCCGGCACACGTCCCCAGCGTAATGATGTCACTAAGAGGTGACATCATCACGTTGGGGGCAGGACGCTCTATGATTTGAGGGAAAACTCTATGGTTTTCCCTCGAATCCTAGTGGCCCTGCCCCCAACATGCCGACACGATAATGTCACTTCCAGGTGCGCGTGCACGGACTCCCCAGAACAGCGCGGGACTCCCCTGAGGTAAATTAATTTGGACTTGGCAACCCTAATTGGGAGGCATATACAAGTCTGAGCAGCTTTGTCTGAAATCTGGCACAGACCCCAGCATCATACTAATTTTATATGGAAAGAAAACTGTAGCCTGTTTCCTTTCCAGTTGATGGGTTACTACTAGCTAATTTGTCTTCAATGTCAACCAAAGGATTATTCACCAGATTAGTACTGTGGATCAGCTATATTTAGCAAGCATTAATAATCTCTCCTTTGTTCACTTAGAGCAATAGTGTTTCTGATTTAGGATCCACCTTATGTTCAACCTTCAAATGAACCTAACTATAATATTTTTGAATGATATCTATTTCTTTCCTACCTTTCATTCTTAAGAATAAACAAAGCATAAACAGAAAATGTATGGTGTGATGTACTTTATGTTGAAGTAGAACCCTCTGATATCTTCCTACCATCAGAAAGATCATTAACTTGGACTACAGTCTTATCCCTACTTTCTTAGAATTAAATTTAGGGGGGATTACCAATTGAATTTAGCGGGGATTAAATCTAAAGAAAAATACATAGAATCAGGATGCATAGTTTAATTATGGTCCCGATCATTGCTGGAGTTTCTTTTATTTTCTTAAAAAGAATCTTGCTCTTTCAAAATATGTTTAAGATGTTTATTATTGTGAAAATATTAAGAGTGGGTTTTTAAAATCAATTTAAAATAATATACTGAAAAACACATTTTAGGCTAAGTTAGTAGAAACCACATTTTAGTTTAAGGATTTCTTCCCCTATTTTACTCTTTTTAAAAATGGCTGTTAACTGTAAGTATTTTCTTTCCATCACTATAAAGAATAGTGAAACCTCTATTCTTGGGAAAGATCAGGGCTTAGAAAGAAGCTTTGGAGTTTCATAATAAAGTGGCATGTACTTGTTTTAGGCAACTTTTTTCTGTGACTGTGAAGATCAATACTTGGGTGCTTTCTGTGAAGAATTTGATGCCTGTCAAAGTGGTCCCTGCCAGAACAATGGAACATGCATGGATGTCACAGAAAAACACGATGGCAACAATTTCACCTGTACTTGCCTCACTGGTAAGTTTTATGTTGTGTTTTGAATAATGGTTTTGGTTTTGCACTAAGCATCTAAGGTGTTGCTTTGCACAACATTATCCTGCTTTTTTTTTGAGTCTGAGGAAGAAGAGAGACCTAATAAAGGAACAAAGTGTGTATGTCTGTGAAGATCATTAGCCATAGTTTTTGATAGACTTGTCCCAGCAAGCATTTTGATCCATGGGTATCAGAGTGGGGATACAGGGACCCATCCTACCTCCTCCTGGAGCATCTTAAGGTTTTTTTTAGCACACATGAGACTTTTGGGCTGTTTCATTACAACAAAGGGAGGAATAGATAAAGCTCTGAAATTCTGCTTTGATTCCCAGGCATAGGTTTGCACTGTATGCTATTATAAGACAACACAAATAAAGGCTGTCCACAAAGCAGGATGTGAGTACAGCTGAAGGCAGGCAGAGATTAGCAGGCAAAGGTGGAGGATAAGACAGGTCTGGATAGGTGGAAGAAGAGGGAACTGCTCAGTATAGAGGCCGTTCTGAACATGCCACATATAAGGCAGTGCAGCAGTGCTAAGTTAAAAGTGCCTTTTGCAATTGCCTTTCTATGTTGTAAGAAAAGTGATTCTGAGAACTCTTGAAGAAGACTGTTGAACTCTCCTGACCATGTTGAACCAGAAAGAACAGGCACTTGAGAAGTTCAGTGAAATCAAGTGGAAGTGCTGAATTGCCTTTTACGTATAGGAAGGATGCTCTCGTCCATTATGTCTGATTTCTAAATACTGCATTTAAATCTCTTCCATCAACATTAAAAGAACACATTACACATTGAGACAATAAATGATTTGTATTCAGATTTAAATTATAGCTTGTATTCAGATTTAAATAATATCTAAGCACTGGAAAGAAGACATGACCTCTCTGTGTGCACGTATCTTCATTTATTCTATTTAATATAACTATGCAAATGCATCCAGGTACTTCCTTAACAAGAAAGATATGTAAATACAGTAAAGTAATGCTTTAAATTCTATTAACTGCAATGTAGGTTTAAGAAGATAATGTAGTCTGTAGCTGAACTTGAAATAGAATGCCTCGAATGAGCTGTACCATCAAGGTCATCATGAATGAAGTCTATTCTAGACTCATGAAGTGGAAAGAATTTATAGATGAGTCCTAATACTGTCTAAAATCTGAAAAAATAGCAACAATCTCCACTCAGTATCTGGATTTCCTCTGTATACTCTTGTAAATAAATCAAGATTTCTCTTTGAAGGCTCAGTGGTAGAGCATCTGCTTTGCCACAAAAGGTCCCAAGTTCAATCCCTGTCATCTCCCATTTAAAAGAATTGGACAGCTGTGCTGTTGGTGTTGTTAGCCATTCAGTTGTGTCCAACTCTTGGCGATTCTATGGGCCAACTCTCTCCACATTTTCTGATCTTGTATTGTTTCTTTGAGTCATTCCATGCTCAGGCTGGTGTTGACTTTTATGTCTAGCCACTGTGTTCTTTGGTGGTCTGGTTTTCTTTTGCTGCTAACCAAGCCAACTATAATTGCTTTTTCTAATGAGTTCTTCTGCATGACATGGCTGGAATAAGGCAGTTTTATGATTTTTCCTTCCAATGACGTCTGGTTTTATGCGCTCCAGTACTTGTTTGTTTGTCACCTTTGCTGTCCAAGGAATGCGCAGGACTCAGAGCCTACTCTAGCACCACAACTCAAATGAGTTGATTTTCCTCCTGTATTGCTTCTTCATGGTCCAACTTTCACAACTATAGGTTGCTATGGGGAGCACAATAGCAAGACTAATCTGCATTTGGTTGCTAGGCTGATGTCCTTGCTCTTCCATATTCATTTCATGCTCATCATTGCTGTGCAACCCAGCATGATTCGATGTTTTATTTCTGGACTGCATTCACCATTTTGGTTGATCTGTGACCCTAAGAAGGTGAACTCTTCCACACATTCAAACCCTTCATTGTCAACGGTTATTTTGACATTTCTCTTCTTCTCGGTGGTCATGAACTTGGTCTTTTTGATGTTTAGGAAGAGGCCAAACTTCTCACTTTCCTCTTTGATTTTCTTGATCAGGTATTCCAGGCCTTCTTTCGTTTCCAAGAGGAGGATTGTGGTGTTAGCATATTGAAGATTGTTGATATTCCTTCCTCCAATCTTTACCCTGATTTTTTACTCTTCCAGCTCCAACTTCCTCATGATTGGTTGTTTTTTTTTGGCCCCGGTAGGGGATTTTTTAAATTGCATTTTCTAAAAACTACAACGAAATTAGGGAGGGGATCTACAACTATGGGAGAAAGTAAAGAAAACCCACTAAAAACTCAAGAGTTGGAGGTCTTACATTGCTTATAAAAGTATTAGCTTAACAATATAGAAATTGCTTTTCTTGACATTGAGATTTTTACTCTTCCAGATCCAACTTCCTCATAATTGTTTTGGCATATAGGTTGAATAGGAAAGGTGAAAGAATGCAACCTTGTTGTACTCCTTTCTCTATCTTGAACCAATCAGTATCTCCATATGGTGTTCGTACAGTGGCTTCCTGGTTTGTGTACAATGATTGTATCAACTTGACCAGATACACTGCCACCCCCAGGACTTGTAGGACTCTCCACAGTTTGTCATGATCAGCACAATCAAAGGCTTTCTTGTAATCGATGAAGCATAAGTAGATAATCTTTTGATACTCAAGAGACTTCTTCATGATCCAACACAGATTTGCTATGTGGTCGCGAGTGCCACACCCTTTTTGGAAGCTGACTTGGACATCTGGTAATTCCCTTTCAATTGCTAGTGTCAGGCATCATTGTATAATTTAAAGCAGAATTTTGCTAATGTGAGTGATGAGAGTGATTGGGCAATAACTGGAGCAGTCTCTGGAGTCCCCCCCTTTTTGGTAGTGGGATGAACACTGAGCGTTTCCAGTCCCTTGGTCATGTGCTGGTTTTCCAGATTTTCTGACCCAGGGCTCTGATGATTGCAGGTGATGAGAGCGATTGGGCAATAACTGGAGCAGTCTCTGGAGTCCCCCCCTTTTGGTAGTGGGATGAACACTGAGCGTTTCCAGTCCCTTGGTCATGTGCTGGTTTTCCAGATTTTCTGACCCAGGGCTCTGATGATTGCAGGTGGTACAGGCGTCAGAAATTCTGTGAAGATGATGTCAACACCTGGAGTCTTGTTGTTTGGGAGTTGGCTCATTGGTGTCATTGGACAGCAGGTGTTGTTAAAGACCTCTCTACCTAAAACCATGATGAGCTTTTTTCATTCCGAGTAGACAGTCCCCTGATAGACCTATGGTCTGACTCAATATCAGGCATCTTCATGTGCTTGTGTGCCTTTGCATTAATTGAACATTCTACCATCTGCAAGTATTTTTCGTGCCTTCCCCTTCACCCAGCTGCCTTCTTAACTGAGGACTAAGGTATCCTCCTGAACAAAATGCCATGGAACTTGGGAGGGGTAATAGGGCAAAATCTCTTCCTGTGTATTCTTCCACTACTGGAGCAAGCTCAGTTCCTAGTTTGCTTTGTTAATGCAACTCTGTGTGTATGGGGGTGATTTTGTCTGATTTTCCCACCTTATTGCAGCCCTTGTAATGTGGAGTTTTGCTCAGGAGTGGTCTGCTAACCTTCTGCAGAGACTTCTTAGGTGTGCTGTGGGCTGCTTAAGGAAGATGGGAAGAGCTGGTTGTGTAAGTTCTTTCTGGTCATGCATGGTGAAATCCAACCTGTTGGGATCATGTTTGTTGCAATCAGAGTTTCACAAGATTTGCATTAGAGAATAATCAGTGTGAGTTGGGGACTGAATATGGTGGTAAGTTTGTTTAAAACACTACCCAAGCAATCATTTCAGCAAAATCTCTATGCATTTAATATAGTTAGGTGAGTGACAATTCATGGAAGTGTGCAGACATGTGCACACACTTTGACACATGTCTTGTCTGGAAAGTTTTTGGAGCCCATGTTCTTGTAAGTGCTATTTAATTATTTGCTTTATAACAGTACAGAACAAACTACTACATAGTGCTGTTGACTGATAAATGGGTTTTCTACATATGAGAGAATGCTAACTTCAGAGAATGCTAATTTGTAATACATGGTATTTATTGTTGATGTTCCAGAGATGATGATTCTTGCTTTCTTAATACAACTGTGTGTATAGTACAGGTACGAACATACTTATTTCTACAGAGCTAACAGTAAATTGTCAAAACTGAGATATGATTTACCATGAAAAAGACACCCCAAATTTCTGTTTGAAACAAATTATATTTAATAAACATCAACATTACTGTTGAAGAAGCTTTGTTTATTTTACATCAACATGGGCTCTTTTTTTAAAAAAATGCAGTATTTTAAACTTAAGACTATTGGAATGGTGTTGAACATACTATGCATGAAAGTTCATATTGAGAGAGAAAAGGCAGTGAAAATTGTGTATCGATATATGTGTCAAGCGTAGGAATCTCTGCACATGCATTATAGATCACATTCTCTAAAGTTATTGCAACTCAGAAATTATCAGATCTCTACACCATGCTATGTTAGAAGTTTATATATATGCTGTTGATGTTTCAGTCTTAACCTAGATTGTTCATTCATAGTAAATACATGATAAAATATAGCCTAATGCCTGTGGGTGTGTTACATAATAATGAACATTTATAAATGATAGACACTTATTGATAAAAGTATATTTCAAATGTGTGTCTTGACATAAGTTTATTTCTGGGTTTTTGCAAAACTCACAGAAATTTTAAATACAGTGTAGTATTTTCCTTGCTGAAGATACCTGTCCTGACCAACACCTGTGTTGCACAGAGGATTTTTAAACTAGTCCTCAACAACTGTTGCTCTGATACTGTACTTACAAATGTCTAAAACATTTCCAGAGTGTACAAAAGCAGATATGCAGTATTCTTCCTTGTAAATCTGAAATCAAATAAAGCATGTACTTTACTATAAGGTGGACATATTAAGAGCCAAATCACATATGCTACTGGGGCTCTGTGTTTTGATCACGAGATGTGTAACTGAGCTGCAAAAAGTAGCCACTTTAGGGCTCAATCTGGATTGGGCAACAGTTGCCAGGTCCCCCTGGCCACTGGCAGGCGGTAGGGTTGCCAGCCCCAGGTTGGGAAATTCCTGGAGGTTTGGGGGTGATGGGGAACTTGAGTGGGGACCAATGCCAGAGTCCACCCTCCATATCACCCATTTTCTACAGAGGAATTTATCTCTGTAGTCTGGATGTGATCTGTAATTCCGGAGGATCCTCAGATCCCACCTGGAGGCTGGCATCCCTAGCAACAGTGTTAGGGAAGGGAAAGTAAACCCCCCCCCATGCCATTTCCTTATTCAGAAATGTCCTATCCAATCCCCTGCTGTTTTAAGCCTTCTAAAACACAAGAACAATATGGGTGCTTGTTTTTCCTTCCTTCTGGAGTTTAAAGAAATCAGGGGGGGCATTTTCACATTTGGTTAATGGTCTACTGGGGGGGGAGTGAATTTTCCCCTTTCCCAACAATGTGACCTCTCTTCATATCGTCCCCCACCTTCACGGCTACCTTTCACAGCTTAAGCTACATGTCTGGGGTTCCAGATGTGGATCCCCAACATAGATGTGGTTTGGCCCTTATAATAACCTTTGCGTATAGATATTGCCACGGGCGGCTTTGGTTATCATGGCAAAGAGAGATTTCCCTACTTCTGCTGCTCCTGCAGTTTGTACATCTTGTCACAGGTGACATACACACATGCTCTGTTTGCATGTTTGGAAAAAGCAGAAAACTAATGAGCAAGTCACCTAGAAAGACCATTTTCTCTGCTTTTGGGTAATGTGTTCCAACAAGTCCTAAAGCCATGATTTTGTGGCTGTATGCGTCAGTATTGGTAACGACAACCCAAATGTGATTTCAGTTGATACAATTCATTGTTTAGAGACTTGTCATGATAGTTTTTGAATTTGCTGCAAATACATTTGAAATGTTGTTTGTGACTAGCCCAGGTGCTTGTGAAAATGTCGGCCTCAACCCTATGCAAGTTAGTGATTTCAGAGTGTTGTTTCTGGCAAAATACAGTTCAGGGGTATCCCAGTACCTTATTATTTTGATTTTACATAAGATGAGTCCAGATTGACAATGTTTATTAGTATAAGCTACCACACAGGATGAGAATTCCAGGAAATGTGTGCTTGTTATTTGGATGCTACTATGACCTATTTATTAATAAAAGCCCACCCATATCTCTCCCTTTTTTAAAAAAAACCATTGTGGTGAAGGATATACTGGAGATCTGTGTCAGTCAGATATTGATTACTGCCATCAACAGCCATGTAAAAATGGAGGATCCTGTTTTTCCAGTGTCAGTGGATTCAGTTGCCAGTGTCCAGAAGGTAAGCAATAAAGGTTTCAGGAATCATGTTCTTATTAAAAGGCTTGTGCATTCTATAAATGTTTCTGCTCATTTGCTGAGCAGAGCAGTTCCAAATCATCTCTACTTCTACATTTCATTTTAATTTTGTTTTTTCCTATTCTGATACTAACTTCACGTATATACCATATATACATGATATTGCTTCCTATGCTTCCAAGTGTTAACCTTAATAAATTGCCATTCTTTTTGTTAATGAATTTTATTTATTTATTTATAGCCTGCCTTTCTCATCAAGAACCATGGCAGAATACAAAGTATTTTAAAAATGCAGTTAGACAGCATAAGACATCCAATAAACAATGCAGTTGGACCAGGATTATAGAATTAGAAAACAATGCACAAAAAAGTGTCAAATGCATAATATACCATAAATGCAGAAAGTGGATTACAAACATAGAAGACAATGCATTAAAGGCAAGGTGATGTGTATGCTAAACATTGCAGAAGCTTATAATCATGTTCCTTTATATATGCATCCCCTTGACTATTCAGTTCTATGACAGCTGTACTCTCTTTATAAAAAGTCACTGCTGAGCATTTCTGTTTTATGCATTCTACAGAATTATAGAAGTGTGGGTGCCTTCCCGATCTCTTTTGGCAGGCCATTCCCCAAGGTGGAAGATACAACAGAGAATCCTTGGGTACAGGCATCTGCTTATCTTACCATTTTTAGGGTGCCACCTTCATAAGGCTTTGTTCAGATGATTGACTCTCTTCATGTCAGAGCAATTGCAAGAGAGTTGGTCCTGCAGGTATGTGGGTCCAAGGTCATTAAAGGCTTTGTAGATGATGACCATTAACTTGAGAGCCAAATTAATGATGACCATTAACTTGAAAGCTAGTTTGGTGTAGTGGTAAGGAGCACGGACTCTAATCTGGGAGAACCGTGTTTGGTTCCCCACTCCTCCACATGCAGCTGCTGGGGTGACCTTGGGTCAGTCACAAATTCTTTCAGAGCTGTTCTCTCAAGGACAGTTCTTGGGAGAGCTCTCTCAGCCCCACTTACCTCACAGGGTATCTGTTGTGGGGAGGGGAGGGAAAGGGATTGTAAGCCACTCTGAGACTCCTTTTGGGTAGTGAAGGGTGGGGTATAACATCGCCAGTCTCTTCTTCTTCTTGAATTAAACCCAATAACTGATCACTAACCAGTGGAGTGGCTACTGCATGGATCTGATATGTATATTCACCTAGCTTTGATAGTGTCATGGCTCAGGTAGGGTGTCACCTGACGCTGCCACCACTCTGGTTCCAGGCTCCTCTGAGAAGGCCTAGAGCACCCTCCCAAGACCTTCAGGCCTCCCCTTTGGTCGAATAATAGGCGTGAGGACCAGGCAGAGTAAACAATGAAAATAGTTTATTTTACAGGAGGTCAAACAAGCAAGGTACAGGAATAATAACAGTAAGTGGGTGAAAAGAAAAGGAATCAAATGCCCTAACGCATCTAAATATATACTGTCCCTAGCTCACTGTCTCAGTGGCCTTAGACTACTCACCCTTCCCTCAGGATGAGGGTCTCTTCCCCACAGTAGCCTCAGTCCCTTCTGGCTCTGTTCCCTGGGAAGAAGAACAGCTTTCCCCCCTTGTACCAGTTCTTTTATTCCCCCTGCCCTCTTCTTCCCTGTTGGTCAAAATCGGCGCCAAAACTTCCCAAGGCCTTCTGGGATTTGTAGACCCAGCCTCCTCCTCCTGCTAGCCAGGCTCCCTAGACCTGCTAGGCCATGCTTGCACAGCCCAGATCATGACACCCCCCACCAGACCAAATCATGGGGTCCAGCCCCGGATCCCCATTGATGCGGTTTGCACACGAGATTTGTGCTCTGGCTTGCCCTTTCAACTCACGCACCATTAACATAAACACAATAATAAAACAGTAAAACAGTATTCCAATCAACATTAAAGAGAATACAACATCAGGTTAATGCATTGCAGGTCCTCCTGGGTCAAAGCTCTTCTCTAATGTCTCATCATCAGTAGTAGGAAGGTTTTCACTGGGAGTAAGTTCTAAATTGGATCTTAACCACACCTTTGAGTTCAGAGGTTTTGGACATTCTACTTTTGTGTTGGCTTCACAGGAGCCAGTTTGGTGTAGTGGTTAAGTGTGCGGACTCTAATCCGGGAGAACTGGATTTGATACCCCACTCCTCCACTTGCACCTGCTGATGTGACCTTGGGTCAGTCACAAGCTCTGGCACAGCTGTCCTTGAAAAAGAGCAGTTTGTGTCAGAGTTCTCTCAGCCCCACCCACCTCACAGGGTGTCTGTGGTGGGGAGGGGGAGGGAAAGAAGTTTGTAAGCCGCTCTGAGACACCTTTGGGTAGTGAAGGGCGGGGTATAAATCCAATCTCTTCTTCTCTCTTCTATATCCTGTAACATATACAGTGCTCTTTGTCTCAAATAGTCTGAATTTACCCTCTGAAGTTCATGAGAAAGTTCGATTAGAACATGAGGGTGAGCTTCATTTTGAGATATCAATGTACCTACTTCAGAATAAATGATGTCTCTCAAAGTTTCGAACATGGGAAGATCACTTCCTGTTTCTGGTTTGAATGTTTTTGTCACGGTAGTAGGATCCACGGAATCTAGCATGCTACTAAAGCTCTCCAGAGAGTCTTCATCAAATTATCTTCTCCTGCTGGTGTCAGGTTGACTTTCATGATGAACACTAGTGGAATGTTGTACAGGCACTGCAAACTCAGTCTTGAGGAACAACTGGCTCTCTTTTTCCCCACTCTGATGGTCATTTACCAAGGTCAGTCTACTGTTCTCCACTTTCTCTCCAGGCTGCTTCACAACTCTTGGCTTTTTAGCTCCAGCTGTGGAACTACTTTCCAAGGGCTTTGGAAATGCCATATCTTCAGTTTTCCCAGTAGTGTTAGGTTCTAGGGGTGGTTGCTGATGCTGTTGTTGACTGGTTTGAGCAGCATAGCTGTGTGGAAAGTCACTCAAACCAGATGGGAACATGGAATCAAAGTTGACACGGACTTCTTCCATGCTGACGACTTCCTCTTGATCCTTCTGGAATGCAGTTGGAGTTACTGGAGGAGATTCTGGCACTGGTTCTGCAACAGGGTCTGGAGAAGTTGCTGAGGTGTGCTCACCTTGCTTCTACTTCTCAGACCGATGACGGGTTAACATTCCTATGCAGACATCGGTTTGCTGGCTATGTTCCTCAGGAACATCTTCAAAGTCCTTTAAGAACTCAAAATGGATGGGGGTGGTAATTACCCCCCCCCCAAAAAAACCCTTTCTGCACTATGCAGAGTGTTCCAGCCTCTGAGATGGTGAGACAGCAAAGCTGAAAGCAGGGGAAACCACTACAAGTCCCATCATAATGACCTCTTCTCATCAGCCTCTGAGGTGGTGGTGCTGTGGGCAGAGGGGGAGCCAATGGTGACAGCACTGCAAGTAAAGGGATAGGAACTACTGCCATAAGCTCTGCCATCACTGCCTCTCCTCACCAGCCTCTGAGGGAGTGGTACTGTGGATGAGATGGAGGAACTGCTGTTGCCATGGGCCCCGCAATTGCAGTGTGTTTTCAACTGCTTCATGGGTGGTGGCACTGTGGGTGGGAAGGGGGAATCACCACCTGGCATGCTGTCAGAAGAGGAGCAGACCCTACAATAGTACCTGCCCCATCTCCCAGCACAGTCCCCACTGTATCCCCCCTACTGCAGCCACATGAGAGGAAGAGTGGTGGCCATGCCAGTGGGTGGAATCCAAATAAGGGATTGGGTGGGGGTGGGGGATGAAAGCTAGAATGATGGTGTGGGGGAGGGAGAGAAAAAGAGGAGCGAGTGACAGTAGCATGGGAGAGAGAGAGGGACTGACAGCAGGCACAGGGAGATGGAGAAAAACAGAAAGTTAGGGGTAGAGTGAGAAAGAGAAAAAGTCCTTTTGAGCAGGTTCACTGCAGCAGCAGACTGGTGAAAAAAATATATGTTGACATCGCGATGTTGTTATTTTTCATTCTATTCTTGCAGCACTGGGATGCCACAGTTGGCAAAACCCTTATACCATGAGGGAAGCAGGAGTTAGTCAGAATCCTTTATTTACTAAAGGTTCTCCCCCCCCTAACCATCACAGTCATAATGTTATACCTCCTTTGTAAGCAAGTTAAAATATTTCAATTGAAGTCAGTGAACAGCTTCATATTGTATTTCCTCTGCAAGAGTGCTGCCACAGTGGAATTTAGAATTCCAACTAATTCCTCAGCCAATCATAGCATACTATAAATGGAATATAAGAGCCAGCCAGGGAATGCAGATTTTATATATCAAGGCATGTGACACAGGACCTATATCACTTTGTCCTCAAATCTAGAGAATTTAAATCCCACAAGTAGTAATTTGGCAGTTATGCTGATAAAAAGACACATTGCACAAATGGCAAGGGTTCACGACGACATGGGAAAGGTATATTGTTAACACTTGACTTCTCAGATCTTCTCAGATTCGCAGGACTCCAAATGCAAACACTCTGCTCTACTGTTTCAACTAGAGTTAAAGGACAAATTACTCAGGTAAGTAGAGCCCAGACCTCACAGTGGGACTCTATCCTTTACCCTGAGCACTCCAAGAGCATTCAGATACCAGTGGCCACAGAGTGTCATCCATCCCCACTGAAATGGGGAAACTATGTATGGGTTGTAGCAGGGTCCCCAACACAGAAAACACAGGATAGGAAGAGGGACTTTGGGCCACAAACCCCAGATGTAGCTAAGCTCCCATCATATACCAAGGAAGTGCAACTGGTTACATACCAGGCAGCCCATGTCATCATTGGTGATCTGGCCAAACCTTCAGAACTCATTCTTCTTTGCAGGTTCAGAGCCAGAATCCTTGGAGCAGAAGAAACTACCACTGGAGACAAGATTTTCATGGCATCTCTTTATGTGAAATAGGTTAATATTGTTGAATGGTCATAATCTCCTCCTCCAATGGATGACCCTTCAAATATAGAC